AGGACGGTGTAGGATTCAAAGATTGAGGTTGAAAGCTTCAGTAGCTTCACTGCATCTACAACTCTGCGACATGCCGAAGAAGAACCCAAGCTGGCCTGTCCAGGACGCGCCATTTCCCAGAGGTCCAAGTCGGTGTAATGTAGATGTCCACATCAGTTGTAGCGTTAGTACTCTTTTATAGCCTTTACCGCGCCCCCAAAACATATTCTAATCATTACGGTCTCATGATTTGATAATTGGAGTTCTGCGGTTCTAACCCATATACGGAGACACAAGAAGTGTTGGACCCTTGGGAGTGATCCAAAGACTTGCAGGAGCTTGTGAAACGAAGAAGCATGCCCTGTTTGGGCATAGGTCTCTTTGCTAGTGTCCTTTTCTTGCGCCGTTTTCCGAACCATGCTCAAACTCTCAAACCCTTCACTTGCTCTTGCGGAGAGGGAGCTGCCGGAGACGAAGGATGATGAAAGGGGGAAGCTTGACTTGAACTTGAACCAATAGAGATCTGGTTCTCGCAGTCCTTTCAATGTCACTTTTTTGCCGGCAGAACAAGTGTAGCCCGAACGCACGTTCGCATATCACTGCGTGCGTGTGGGCTAGATGTCAACATGCTTCTCCAAGACCAACGTGTCTGAGGAGTCACGGTCGCGTCCGTCCTAGGGATTGCAAGCTGTTTTCAATCATAGCCTCAGCCCACAAACCGCCGACCTGGCAGGGCATACATAGTACGAGAGCGTACTGCAACCCGTGTATATCGAAGTAAGAAGCAAAACTGCAAGGGTTCGATTCTGCCAGATTGAAATGCCCCGTTTGGGTGCAAGATCAGCAGGTTCGTTTTTTTTATGCTTGTGATTCACTAAGACGGATGCCAGCATTTTCGAATGCGCGAAATTGGCCTGTCGCCTGAGCAGTTAGGGTGTCAGGAAGACCGTTTAGTATAGGATTTAGGGTTGAGGACGGTGTAGGATTGCAGTTGGCAGCTGCGGTGTACTTACAACTCTGCGACAGGCCGAAGAAGATCCCAAGCTGGCATGTCCGGGACATTCCAGTTCGCAGGTCCAAGTCTGTCTGATGTAGACGCCTGCATGATTTGTAGTGTCACAATTTCTTCAGAGTCTTCTTCTATGTAAACTTGAGTATACGCCAGAGCCATGTTCTATTCATTAAGGCCCCGGAATAGATTTATCGGTCATTGGCATTCTGCTCTTGTAACCCTTGTGTATGGAGACATGTCCACATAGGCAAGCAGGATTGGGCCCTTGGGAGTAATCTGCCAAGGACTTGCGTGAGCTCGTGAAGCGAAGAAACATGTATTGTTTGGGCATAACTCTGTTGCTAGTGACTGCTAGTGTCCTCATCTTGCGCGCTGGGTCCGAACCCTCCTCAAACCCGTGTAAAGCAGTACGTGTATTCCGAGGATTGCTTCACTTGCTCTTGCGGAGAGGGAGCTGCCGGGCCGAAGTATGAGTATATCGCAGTATACGCTTTAAAGCGAATGGGAAAGCGTGAACTTGAACCGTAGAGCTCTGTTTCTCGCAGTCCTTTCAATGCCATTCCCCGGCAATCCGGCAGAACCAGCGCGGCGACAACGCAGGTCGCATATCGCTGAGGGTGCGAGGTGGAAAGGCACGTTAGAACGGCAGATTCCGAGTCACATGCGCCTTTTCGACCTCACTCCACATCGCACGTAGATCAGCGATCAAAGTGCTACAGGTGACAATGTTTCGCAAAATAACAGGATTGTAGCTTGCTGCTGCTGGACCAAGGGAAATCGAGTAGTTTATAGCATTTTTTGTAGCGTCGATTCGACAGTGTTTTGTCTCCATGTGCCCTTGTGGCTCGAGCGCTTGCGATTCGTTCAGCTGAAGCCTTTGGAAGGCTCCCCTTAACATCCGCTCCGACCGCAGCATGGCGCACGGTGCCTCGTGCCCAGGAGCAGCCCAGGCACGCGCCTGGTCCATCCGAATCCTGCGGAATATGGTGACGATGCGGCACTTTGGGAAGCTTTATAATTTCCCTTGTGGTGCCTGTATAGAGGTACGGATTCCTATTCCTAAATACGTTGCAAGGGCCCCAACCCTAAAACTATACAACCCACGCAGGTTAAGCCAGGCCGCCTGGGAAAGGCTGCCCGCAAGAAGGCCGGCCTGGAGCGGAAGAAGTGCCGCGGCAAAGCAAAGTGGGAGGACAAAGACCCTCAGCATGCGCTTGCCGACGAGGTGATCGAGGTGGAGCAGGAGACACCGACCAAGCTGTCGCAGAAGGGCGGGTTTTCGCGGCACGAGGGGCGGTTGCTGGGTTTGCTTTGTCGGGATACGGGGTTACGTCGGTTAAGTTTGGGGGTGCTGTTCCCGATGCCTTGGAGGAGGTTGGTGCGGCGGAGAATGCGGACGAAATGGACTTCGAAGTAGAAAACGCTACCGAGGATGTCGCCGAGGCCATCAAGCATAGCGGCGACCTGGTGGATAAGATGGTTGCCGAAGCCGAGCGCAGGTCGGAGCTTGCCCTGGAGGACTGGGTTCTTGTTCAGGACTTCAATTCAAGTTACCATAAATAAGGAAACCGTGCTCTTTACATTTATTTACTATAGATCCCTATTATGGTAACTTAGATTAAATTCCTTGACAAGAACTCAGAGGAAGCCGAGATGGCGGCTGCAGAAGCCGAGAGCTACGAAATGGAGCTCGAGACGCTCCTGAAAGAGCTGGGGGTCTGAGAGGCTGACAGGTCCGTCTTAGGGACTGCAAGCTGTCTACAGGGGGGTTTAGGGAGAACCTTAGCCACAGATCCTCCACCTATGCAGCTCTTTGACATCGATGTAAAAAACAAAAGCTGCAAGGGTTCGAAAGCGCCACGTTGAAATGCCTTGCTTGGTTGCAGGATCCACAGCTTCGTTTATGTAGGCCTGTGGTTCACTAGCTAAGACGGACGCCTCACGTTCGAATAATTGAAATTGGCCTGTCGCTTGAGTATTCGGGATTTCAGGTGTACCGTTTAGCAAAGGATTTAGGGTTTAGGACGGTGTAGGATTCAAAGACTGAGGTTGAAAGCTTCAGTAGCTTCAGTGCATCTACAACTCTGCGACATGCCGAAAAAGAACCCAAGCTGGCCTGTCCAGTACCCGCCATTTCCCAAAGGTCCAAGTCGGTGCAATGTAGACGCCTACATCAGTTGTAGCGTTAGTACTCTTTTATAGCCTTTACCGCGCCCCCAAAACTTATTCTAATCATTACGGTCTCATGATTTGATAATTGGAGTTCTGCGGTTCTAACCCATATACGGAGACGCAAGATGTGTTGGACCTTTGGGAGTGATCCAAAGACTTGCAGGAGCTTGTGAAACGAAGAAGCATGCCCTGTTTGGGCATATGTCTGTTTGCTAGTGTCCTTTTCTTGCACCGTTTTCCGAACCATGCTCAAACTCTCAAACCCTTCACTTGCTCTTGCGGAGAGGGAGCTGCCGGAGACGAAGGATGATGAAAGCGGTAAGCTTGACTTGAACTTGAACCCGTAGAGCTCTGGTTCTCGCAGTCCTTTCAATGCCACATTGTTGCCGGCAGAACAAGTGTAGCCCGAACGCACGTTCGCATATCACTGCGTGCGTGTGGGCTAGATGTCAACATGCTTCTCCAAGACCAAAGTGTCTGAGGAGTCACGGTCGCGTCCGTCCCAGGGATTGCAAGCTGTTTTCAACCATAGCCTCAGCCACAAACGGCCGACCTGGCAGTGCATACATAGTACGAGAGCGTACTGCAACCCTTAGATATCGAAGTAAGAAGCAAAAGCTGCAAGGGTTCGACTCTGCCAGATTGAAATGTCCCGTTTGCGTGCAAGATCAGCAGGTTCGTTTCTCTTGATGCTTGTGATTCACTAAGACGGACGCCAGCATTTTCGAATGCGCGAAATTGGCCTGTCGCCTGAGCTAGGATGTCAGGAAGACCGTTTAGTACAGGATTTAGGGTTGAGGACGGTGAAGGATTCCGGTTGGAAGCTGCAGTGTACTCACAACTCTGCGACAGGCCGAAGAAGATCCCAAGCTGGCATGTCCAGGACATTCCAGTTCGCAGGTCCAAGTCTGTCTAATGTAGACGGCTGCATGATTTGTAGTGTCAGAATTTCTTTAGAGTCCTTTTTCTATGTAAACTAGACTGTACCCCAGAGGCATGTTCTACTCATTAAGGCCCTGGGAATAAATAGATTTATCATAGGCAAGCAGGATTGGGCCCTTGGGAGTAATCTGCCAAGGACTTGCATGAGCTTGTGAAGCGAAGAAACTTGTACTGTTTGGGCATAGCTCTGTTGCTAGTGTCCCCATCTTGCATGCTTGGTCCGAACCCTGCTCAAACCCGTGTAAAGCAGTATATGTCTTCTGTGGATTGCTTCACTTGCTTTTGCGGAGACGGAGCTGCCGGGGTCGAAGTATGAGTATACCCATTTGCTTTGCGAATGGGAAAGCGTGAACTTGAACCCGTGGAGCTCAGTCTTTCAATGCCACTTTGTCCCCGGCAATCCGGCAGAACCAGCACGGCGACAACGCAGGTCGCATATCGCTGAGGGTGCGAGGTGGAAAGGCACGTTAGAACGGCAGATTCCGAGTCACATGCGCGTTTTCGACCTCACTCCACATCGCACGTAGATCAGCGATCAAAGTGCTACCCAGGTGACAATGTTTCGCAAAATAACAAGATTGTCGCTTGCTGCTGCTGTGGCGTCGATTCGACAGTGTGTTGGCTCCGTGTGCCCTTGTGGCTCGAGCGCTTGAGATTTCGTTCAGCTGAAGCCTTTTTGGAAAGCTTCCCTTGAAGATCCGAATCCGATCGCAGCGTGGAGCACGGTGCCTCGTGCAAGTGCTCCCCATGTGGACGCCCAGGCGCGCGTGCCATGGTGACGATGTGGCACTTTGAGAATCATTGTAATTTTGCTTGTGGTGCCTATGGAGGTACGGATTCCTATTCCTAACTACTTTGCAAGGGCCCCAACCCCAAAACTATACAACCCACGCAGGTTAAGCCAGGCCGCCTGGGAAAGGCTGCCCGCGAGAAGGTCGGCCTGGAGCGGAAGAAGTGCCGCGGCAAAGCGAAGTGGGAGGACAAAGACGCTCAGCATGCGCTTGCCGACGAGGTGATCGAGGAGGAGACCACCCTCGGCAACATCGTCGGTTGCGTTCTCTGCTTCGCAATCCATCACCTCCTCAATGATTGCGGAAGCAGAGCGCAAGGGGGAGCTTGCCCTGGAGGACTTGCTTCTTTTTGAGGAATTCCAATTAAGTTGCCCTAAATAAGGTAATTAGATGTTTTTCCTATATACATCCCTATTATGGTAACTTAGCTTAGTCTCCATCACAAGAAAACCCAGAGGAAGCCGAGATGGCTGCGGCATTGGCCGAGAGCTACGAAATGGAGCTAGAGACGATCCTGAAAGAGCTGGGGGTCTGAGAGGCTGACAGGTCCGTCTTAGGGACTGCAAGCTGTCTACAGGGGGGTTTAGGGAGAACTTTAGCCACAGATCCTCCACCTGGTAAGGTACAACATCAGAACATTGTACTGCAGCTCTTTGACATCGATGTAAGAAGCAACAGCTGCAAGGGTTCGAAAGCGCCACGTGGAACTGCATTGCTTGGGTGCAGCATCCACAGCTTCGTTTGTGATTCACTAAGACGGGCGCCAGCATCAACCGGTGCGTGAAAATGGCCTGTCGCTTGAGTATTCGGGATTTCAGGTTTACCGTTTAGTAGAGGATTTAGGGTTTAGGGCGGTGTAGGATTCAAAGCTTTAGGTTGAAAGCTTCAGTGGCCTCAGTGCATCTACAACTCTGCGACATGCCGAAAAAGAACCCAAGCTGGCCTGTCCAGGACGCGCCATTTCCCAGAGGTCCAAGTCGGTGTAATGTAGACGCCTACATCAGTTGTAGTGTTCGTATTTGTTTAAAGCCGCCCCCAAAACATATTCTAATCATTAGGGTCTCGTGATTTGATAATTGGAGTTCTGTGGTTCTAACCCATACATGGAGACGCAAGAAGTGGTGGACCCGTGGGAGTGATCCAAAGACTTGCAGGAGCTTGTGAAACGAAGAAGCATGCGCTGTTTGGGCATAGGTGTCTTTGCTAGTGTCCTTGTCTTGCACCGTTTTCCGAACCATACTCAAACTCTCAAACCCTTCACTTGCTCTTGCGGAGAGGGAGCTGCCGGACACGAAGTATGATGAAAGCGGTAAGCTTGACTTGAACTTGAACCTGTAGAGCTCTGGTTCTCGCAGTCCTTTCAATGTCACTTTGTTGCCGGCAGAACAAGTGTAGCCCGAACGCACGTTCGCATATAACTGCGCGTGTGGGCTGGATGTAAACATGCTTCTCCAAGACCAATGTGTCTGAGGAGTCACGGACGCGTCCGTCCTAGGGACTGCAAGCTGTTTTCAATGATAGCCTCAGCCACAAACCGCCGACCTGGCAGGGCATACACAGTACGAGAGCCTACTGCAACCTTTACATATCGAAGTAAGAAGCAAAAGCTGCAAGGGTTCGACTCTGCCAGATTGAAATGTCCCGTTTGGGTGCGAGATCAGCAGGTTCGTTTCTCTTTATGCTTGTGATTCGCTAAGTCGGACGCCGGCATTTTCGAACGGGCGGAAATGGCCTGTCGCCTGAGTTGGGGTGTCAGGAAGACTGTTTAGTATAGGATTTAGGGTTGAGGACGGTGTAGGATTCCAGTTGGAAGCTGCAGTGTACTTACAACTCTGCGACAGGCCGAAGAAGATCCCAAGCTGGCATGTCCAGGACATTCCAGTTCGCAGGTCCAAGTCTGTCTAATGTAGACGGCTGCATGATTTGTAGTGTCAGAATTTCTTCAGAGTCTTCTTCTATGTAAACTTGACTGTACCCCAGAGCCATGTTCTACTCATTAAGGCCCCGGGAATAAATTTATCGGGCATTGGCGTCCTGCTGTTCTAACCCATATGTGTACATGTCGACATAGGCAAGCAGGATTGGGCCCTTGGGAGTAATCTGCCAAGGACTTGCATGAGCTTGTGAAGCGAAGAAACTTATATTGCTTGGGCATAGCTCTGTTGCTAGTGACTGCTAGTGTCCTCATCTTGCGCGCTTGGTCCGAACCCTACTCAAAACCGTGTAATCTGTAAACCAGTACGTGTATTCCGAGGCTTGCTTCACTTGCTCTTGCGGAGAGGGAGCTGCCGGGCCGAAGTATGAGTATTTCGCAGTATACGCTTTAAAATAAAGCGAGTGGGAAAGCGTGAACTTCAACCAGTAGAGCTCTGTGTCTCGCAGTCCTTTCAATGCCACTTTGTCCCCGGCAATCTGGCAGAACCAGCACAGCGACAACGCAGGTCGCATATCGCTGAGGGTGCGAGGTGGAAAGGCATGTTAGAACGGCAGATTCCGAGTCACATGCGCCTTTTCGACCTCACTCCACATCGCACGTAGATCAGCGATCAAAGTGCCACAGGTGACAATGTTTCGCAAAATAACACGATTGTAGCTTGCTGCTGCTGGACCAAGGGAAATCGAGTGGTTTAAAGCATTTTTTGTAGCATCGAATCGACCGTGTGTTGGCTCCAGTGCCCTTGTGGCTCGAGCGCTTGAGATTTCGTTCAGCTGAAGCCTTTGGAAGGCTCCCCTCAACATCCGCTCCGATCGCAGCATGGCGCACGGTGCCTCGTGCCCAGGAGCAGCCCAGGCGCGCGCCTGGTCCATCCGAATCCTGCGACACATGGTGACGATGCGGCACTTTGGGAAACTTTATGATGTCCCTCGTGGTGCCTATAGAGGTACGGATTCCTATTCCTAAGTACTTTGCAAGGACCCCAACCCCAAAACTATACAACTCATGCAGGTTAAGCCAGGCCGCCTGGGAAAGGCTGCCCGCGAGAAAGCCGGCCTGGAGCGGAAGAAGTGCCGCGGCAAAGCAAAGTGGGAGGACAAAGACGCTCAGCATGCGCTTGCCGACGAGGTGATCGAGGAGGAGCAGGAGACACCGACCAAGCTGTCGCAGAAGGGCGGGTTTTCGCGGCACGAGGGGCGGAAGAGAGTTGCTGGGTTTGCTTTGTCGGGATACGGGGTTAAGTCGGTTAAGTTTGGGGGTGCTCTTCCCGATGCCTTGGAGGAGGTTGGTGCGGCGGAGAATGCGGAGGAAATGGATTTCGAAGGCGAGAACCTGGTGGATAAGATGGTTGCAGAAGCCGAGCGCAGGGCGGAGCTTGCCCTGGAGGACTGGGTTCTTGTTCAGGACTTCAATAAGGAACCCGTGCTCTTTACATTTATTTACTATAGATTCCTATTATGGTAACTTAGATTAAATTCCTTGACAAGAACTCAGAGGAAGCCGAGATGGCGGCTGCAGAAGCCGAGAGCTACGAAATGGAGCTAGAGACGCTCCTGAAAGAGCTGGGGGTCTGAGAGGCTGAAAGGTCCGTCTTAGGGACTGCAAGCTGTCTACAAGGGGGTTTAGGGAGAACCTTAGCCACAGATCCTCCCAGATTCGTTTATGCATGCTTGTGATTCACTAAGACGGACGCCAGCATCAACCGGTGCGTGAAGATGCCTGTCGCTTGAGTAGTTGGGATTTCAGGTTTACCATTTAGTAAATTTAGTAGAAGATGTAGGGTCTAGGACGGTGCAATGTAGGATTCAAAGATTTAGGTTGAAAGCTTCAGTAGCCTCAGTGCATCTACAACTCTGCGACATGCCGAAAAAGAACCCAAGCTGGCCTCCCGGAGGTCCAAGTCGGTGTAATGTAGACGCCTACATCAGTTGTAGTGTTCGTATGTGTTTAAAGCCTTTACCGCGCCCCCAAAACATATTCTAATCATTAGGGTCTCGTGATTTGATAATTGGAGTTCTGTGGTTCTAACCCATCTATGGAGACACAAGAAGTGTTGGACCCTTGGGAGTGATCCAAAGGCTTGCAGGAGCTCGTGAAACGAAGAAGCATGCCCTGTTTGGGCATAGGTGTCTTTGCTAGTGTCCTTGTCTTGCACCGTTTTCCGAACCATACTCAAACTCTCAAACCCTTCACCTGCTCCTGCGGAGAGGGAGCTGCCGGACACGAAGTATGATGAAAACGGCAAGCTTGACTTGAACTTGAACCCGTAGAGCTCTGGTTCTCGCAGTCCTTTCAATGTCACTTTGTTGCCGGCAGAACAAGTGTAGCCCGAACGCTGGATGTAAACATGCTTCTCCAAGACCAATGTGTCTGAGGAGTCACGGACGCGTCCGTCCTAGGGACTGCAAGCTGTTTTCAATTATAGCCTCAGCCCACAAACCGCCGACCTGGCAGGGCATACATCGCACGAGAGCGAACTGCAACCCTTAGAAATCGAAGCCAGAAACGATTTTGCCAGATTGAAATGCCTCGTTTGGGTGCAAGATCAGCAGGTTCGTTTTTCTTTATGCTCGTGATTCACTAAGACGGATGCCAGCATTTTCGAATGCGCGAAATTGGCCTGTCGCCTGAGTTAGGATGTCAGGAACACCGTTTAGTATAGGATTTAGGGCCGAGGACGGTGTAGGATTGCAGTTGGAAGCTGCAGTGTATTTTCAACTCTGCGACAGGCCGAAGAAGATCCCAAGCTGGCATGTCCGGGACATTCCAGTTCGCAGGTCCAAGTCTGTCTGATGTAGACGCCTGCATGATTTGTAGTGTCAGAATTTCTTTAGAGTTCTATGTAAACTTGACTGTACCCCAGAGCCATGTTCTACTCATTAAGGGTTCGGGAATAGATTTATCGGTCGTTGGCATTCTGCTCTTCTAACCCTTGTGTATGGAGACATGTCCACATAGGCAAGCAGGATTGGGCCCTTGGGAGTAATCTGCCAAGGACTTGCGTGAGCTCGTGAAGCGAAGAAACATGTATTGTTTGGGCATAACTCTGTTGCTAGTGACTGCTAGTGTCCTCATCTTGCGCGCTGGGTCCGAACCCTCCTCAAACCCGTGTAAAGCAGTACGTGTATTCCGAGGATTGCTTCACTTGCTCTTGCGGAGAGGGAGCTGCCGGGCCGAAGTATGAGTATATTTTGCAGTATACGCTTTAAAGCGAATGGGAAAGCGTGAACTTGAACCGTAGAGCTCTGTTTCTCGCAGTCCTTTCAATGCCATTCCCCGGCAATCCGGCAGAACCAGCGCGGCGACAACGCAGGTCGCATATCGCTGAGGGTGCGAGGTGGAAAGGCACGTTAGAACGGCAGATTCCGAGTCACATGCGCCTTTTCGACCTCACTCCACATCGCACGTAGATCAGCGATCAAAGTGCTACAGGTGACAATGTTTCGCAAAATAACAGGATTGTAGCTTGCTGCTGTTGGTCCTCATTGGGACCGATTGTTGTCAGAGCGGTTTGATAGTGGGCGCATGGTTTTATTAGCACATGGCCTACAGGGCCTTACAGGCCTAACACTTGGTGTGGGTTTGTTGCAGCAGTTCGAGACAACTCAAGCTTAGCCCCCTAAACCCAATAAACTGTAGAACCCTAATCCCAAAGCCGACACATAACATATTGGACCCTATCCCCCCCCTTGCTTCTCATCGTGATGCGGGATCTCTGCAAGCACCGGCCACTATAAGCAGAGCCTGCAGCCTCGGAGAGGCCGTCCACTTCTTCCAGAGGATTGGGGCCGAGGCCCACATGAGGTTTTAGGGTTTAGGGCTTTAGGGGTTTACGGGTTTAGGGCTTTAGGGGTTTACGGGTTAAGGGTTTAATGGGGTCGATGTCAAGCATGGACGAATGGGTTTGGCTTCATTGGTCTCGAGGTCCGGGTTTGCGGAGCTGGCGGTCAAAGAAGCAAGTCTCTCTACTGCGTTTCCTGCTCACATATCATGAACATGGATAGCTACGGATAGTTGCATCCATAGGGGCAAACTATAACATATGCATATTATTCTTTGTACACATGAGCATGTAATATATGTATGCACGGTCACACCTATGCACACGTTAAAGCATGTATGAGCCAAGAGATCGGAACAGTCAGGTACAGATCCCAAGCGGTGTAACGCCGCCCTTCGGAAAGTCACCCATCTATGGCGCTAACTAGCAGAGACTCATATAGTCATAGTAATCATTAGTGTTACAATTGCTGTTACTAAGCTATGCTGATTACCGGTGTTGGGGCCTTGGGGGGCAGTCTTTATCAGCACGCGTCATGCCGTTGCTGGTGCATGATCTGGTGGCGATGCTGCTGCTTGTTGCTGTTATTGTCGCCGATGCTGCCGTGATAACGATGGTGACAATGATGATCGTGATGAGGATGGCCAAATCGGTCATGATGCTGGTAATAATGACGATCATGACTACTTATGATGACAGTCGATGGCCGCGTTGGGTTAATAGTAGCGGCAGCTGCAACAATCTCACTGCCAAAACCAATGATCATCATGACCAGTTGGACAAGGGCACGACTAGTGTGCATACCGAGTTTGGTCTTGATGATTTCCATATTGCTGCTCTCGTTGACGAAAATGGTGACGGATTGTGCCGAGATTGTTGCTGAGGAGGTTGAGATGATGAAAAAAGGGGTAACAATCACGATGGCATTGGTGATCTCAAAGGCGATGATGACGGTGACGATGTCGCTGCTTATGCTGCTGATGATGACAATGGAAAATGCTGATAATGATGATACTGGTGACGGAGGTCATGAGGCGCACTTGGGCATCATCAGATGCAGCCGAATCACGGAGTTTGCATGCTGCTCAGCTGCTCAGGGCCTCAAGCCCACTGCCGTCACGGTGAGTAGCCTGGCCAACACGAATCGCCGCAGAGGACAAGTATTTTGGAATCTTTTTTGCATGGAGTGAAGGCACCGCAACCCGAATCGCCAATCCCTAGCGGATAGGCGCAGATTCGAGCAGCCTTGCAGTGGATTATACACCGTGGACGCATGCACACACACACATGTGTATATATATATATATATATAAACATAAATAGAAACATATAAACGGATAAGTATATACATGTATAGATTTTTACGTAATACACAGCTGTTTATCTGCATGTGTATATATACACACACTTACTGCGTGAATCGATGTATGCTAGTGTGTGCACATGTTTTATCATGTGAGAGACAGGGTGGGCAGGAGCTCCCTCCCTCCTGGCACTTTGTCATGCTGTGGCCGTCAGGCAGGGTTGTCGGGCTTGGGGTCTAGGGGGTGAAGTTCTTGGGGCAGTGTTTGATATCGATTCGGTAGATATTTGTTGTTCGAGGTTCTTTGATGGGTTGTTGAGATGAACGACTTTAAAGATACTTCACTTAAAAGCTCTCAAAGCCCGTTGAAGACAGGGCTTCCGCTCCGCGGTGTATTGAAGTGTTGTACAGTAGAAGCCAGAAAGTTGGAACATCATTGTCCCCATGCCCTTAAGGTAAAGTAGAAGGGATCCTAGCACTAATCCTCCGAAATCCATGTTCCAACTTTCTGGCTTCTACTACAAGCGTCTAGACAGACGTCGCAGAAGTACCATATGGCCGTCTGAGCTGATCTACTGACCATGACGGAGACTTCTGCATGCAGGCCTGATGTTGTGCTGTGCAACACGCAGCTGCGCGCTTACCAGCGAGAGTTGCGATGGCAGCAAGCGGTGCGGGTGCTGCAGGAGAGCTATCAGCTTCTTGGGTAAGTGCAACCCGCGCTCCAGGCTGTACTTTAGGGTGAATAACTGGAATATCCTTTGGGGGTATATTATAGTAGAGTTATAATAAGGAGCCCCCCAAACCCTAAAAGTAATAAGGCTATAAGGCCCTTATATTAAACTTCACTTCTTGTATTGTATCATACTGTACCCAATGCGAGCAGAAGGGATGTGCCTTGAGCTGGCAGGAGGTCTTCGAACGGTTTGCACTTCAAGCAGATGAGGCCGGAAGCAGCATCGGTGTCTTGTTGCCACGGAGGCCTCGCCAATCCATGAATGCTCAAGATCAGCCTTCGACCTCCGACAACTCTGAACAACAAACCCTGAGCTGAATCCCAGAACTGCACAGCCGTAACCCCAGCAGCCCCAAGAACAAAGAAAGCAACAAAAGCCCCAAGCACGCACTACACCTCAACCCTTAAACCCTAAACCAGAAACCCCTACTACCCTATAACATGAAACCTTGAAACCCTTTGACCCGTGAAGCCTTACAGAGCCACAATAGCAACTTCAATAGGGCCTTGATAGTAACCCTTATAGGGTAACCTTGAAAGCCTGCTAGTAACACAACCAGTAACTTTACTAAGGCCCTAAAGCCTAAATCCTATCTTGTTACCGTGAGGCCTAAAAAATCCTATAAACCCTAAATCCGAAACCAGAAAGACCGCAAGGTGTCCTACGCGACCTGTATCAGCGCTTTAGAGCTGAGCCGCCAGTGGCCGCTGGCTGCCGCCCGCACAGAAGGATAAAGGAAGGCCTCAATGGAGATAGTAGGGTCCAGGAGGTTTGGGCTTCTAATGTTTTGAAATGAGGGGTGTATAGACTAGACGAAAAAACTACCATGTGCGAAAGAAATTGCCTATAGCTCGGCTTTGCGCCTCCTGGCCCTCAGGGTTTGATTGTGGGGGCATACATGGGGTGGGGGGTATTGGGGGGTGGGGCTGGGGGTCGTGATCATGCTGTACGCTACCTATTGAAAGCGACCTGAGCCACTTGAACAGAGCTCTTCGTCAAAGCAAGCCTGTAGCCTCTTCTTTGACGAAGGCACCGTGACCAAGTGTAATCTTTACAAAGCACTAAACAGCCTTAAACTTAAACATCCTTAATTAAGCATGGCTAAGACCCGAATCCCTAGCCTCGAGCTGCATTGCTGAGGTACGCCTTCTACAGCGCATGCGAGCCCAAGAGATCCCGCCAAGCAACTTGGCCAGCAACATTTTGCAGGCTTTATACAGTTATACTAATACTATGTAGGGCGTAGGGCTTATAGGGCCCTAGGGTTTACATGGTTCTCATTTATGCTAATATTTGGGTTGCCTTTTAGCCTGGGATCGGGAAGGGACCATCATGAGAGGGTCTGGGGCTGAAGGGTTCTACTGGGTTGTGCGTTGGGATAATTCTTAATTTCCCTTATTTCCTTAGAAAGGGAACCTATTCATAAACAAGTTTCAAAGGGTTTAAAGCACAAGCCAGTCTATGGTTGAGGGTTTCAGGTTGCCAAGGCCCAGGGGATCAAATAAGGTCTGTCTACATTCCCAGACCTTCCAAAATCCCTTAATTAAGGAATATCCCTTAAATTATAGTAGGATCCTTAATATGATTTAAGGTATATTCCTTAATTAAGGGATTTTGGAAGGTCTACATTGCTGGCTCCCCAGCTAGAAGTCCTTAGCCCTGCAGATCAGCTCGGAACATCCTCTAGGATGCCTAGTAGTACCCTTATTCCCTTTTTGTAGTCCTAGGTTCCTTATAAAGTTACCCAATACCAAAAAGAGAGGCCTTTTTATTCTTAGGTTACTGGGTATCCTAGTCCTGGTGTCTCTACTTGGAGGATCATTGGACTTAGTAAGTAAGGTTATAAGTACCTTAATTGGAGTTATAAGTATAGTTACCCTAATTATAACCATAGCTATTAATTCCCATGATCCTTTAAGTAGGATGAAGGCAAGCTCGTAAAAGACGGCACAAGGGCCTGGCAAATCCCTTTCAAACAGCGCTGTCGTGTTTCAGGTGTTGCTACTGTCAGGGATGATCGGGGAGGACTGCACCTATCCCACATGCAAACAACGCCTCGACTTTGTGTTTGGCATTCTGTGGCAGCCTTTGCGAACATGTCCGGGGTATGAAGAAAAGGTCTCGAAACAGCTTTGACGGTGTGCCCTCTTGCATGCGGTCGCCCATACAAAGTATGCTGAACATTCCAGTGCCTTCAGCCCCGGTCGTAGCCTCAAAGCCAAGTCCGCCACACAGTGATCGCTGAACTCCGCACGATCTCCTTCGGACCCCCTCCTTGTAAATTCTGTCTGTCTATCCGCTTATCCATATCCCAAACCCAAGCCCGAAATCACTCATGCATGTGCGCTCCGGAACAGGATTCTGTTGTGTAGCGGATTGCAGCTCACCCTGGTCTATTACCCAGAGGGTCTAGAGATACTACCGTTACGGAATTAGGCCCCAAAAGACCCTTCTATCTCTGAAGGCTTTCCGCCCCTAAACCCGAAAGCCGCGCGGTTTTGGGGTTTAGGGTGTAGGGTTGCGAAGCCCTATAGACTCGTTTAAGGTTAGGGATTTTGTCTTAGCTTTAGGATTCCTAATCCAAACCCATCCAGTGAAGGCCTTGTGGCCTACAATGCGACGATGGCCACCTGTGAGAGCAGCAGCCAATGGGAGAGGACCTGTTTAGGGTTTCGGGTTTAGGGTTAGGTTTAGGGTTTTGGGGTTTAGGGTTTAGGGTTAGGGCTTTAGGGGTGTAGGGTTACTTCCAGCAGCCAATGGAGAAGCTTGGGTACAATCTTGGTAGTAGAGTGTGGAGTAGGTAACCTTCAACATTTGGTTGGTATTGGCCCTGTATAATCCCAAACGTTAACCTATAGTTCCGGTGGGATACTGGACCAGGAAGACACCAATTAGCAACAGAAAGATTAAAGATTGAAGAGCTCAGAATATCCTTAAGAAGGAGTACTACTGTCCCCTCATAGTCCCCATCGAATTACGGTTTCTGGTGTTGGTTACACTGCAACATGACCCCGGGAATAAAGCTGCGATATTCTCGCAGGATTGCGCAGGGACGGGTGTAAAGGAACCCACGGATCTTGGGCTTAGCTCGTTTTGGGGTTTTGAGTTCAGCGTTCGGGTTTACTTTGAGTCTAAGGTCTTGTCAGAATCATTGTTGCCAGTTTCATAGTTTAGGGGATCTAGTGTTCAAGATTTAGGACCTTTGAGTTTAGGGTTTAGGGAGGAGCCTGGACGATGTAGAGGTCTTCATGCTGAAATGGAAGAAGCCGCAGAGTTTCGTTGCTGGAGGACTCTGTCACTCTTCCAGACCCTGCGTGACGACGGGCTACAGCCAACACAGGTCGAGAGCTCAGTTCTTTGGAGGCCTTTAGAAGTACCTATACTATTGCGGGGGTTCCATATTATAAGTATAGTTTTATATACCCACACACCCTATTCTCATCATTAAGGCGCCTATAGCAGTCGTAGAGCCTACTGTAAGAATCTGAGTTTCGCAAGCACACTCGCACGAGAGTGACAACCAACGCACGGAATCAAGGAACACACCCGAAGACTTCCGCAGCTATTTCCAAGGTCTGCCCAAACATAACCACGAAAGCCGAAATTGTGCACGGACCAGTAGGAAGTGATTATAATAAGGTATACTATGCACTTGGTGTATGTTACGAATTCTTAATGTTGTGTTAAACTGCATCGCATCGCATTGGTGATTTCACACACCTGCGCCGTGTCAGTTCCAACTGAAGAGCCCCCAGACCCCGACTCAGGTGAGTGGTGATGTTCTGCAGAGCTCCGCTGGCAGCCAGAAGTCGGAGTGCAGTGGAAGATAGTTCCGGGCGAATGAGGGTTTAGACTTGAGGTTACATGCCGTGAACTCTACTGCTTCGGACTTGAGGACATATGTTGGCAGCACCAGGGCTGGCAGACTCTGGCTGGTACTGAACCAAACCTTCCCGGCATCGCAGGAGCTGTCATGTGCGATGGAGAAGCCGTCAATGCAAGAGCTTGGAAGCCACCTGAACCCAAAATCAACCCTCAAATAGAGCCTTTATGCAACACTTAAATCCCTTATAGAGCCCTTATGCAACCTACATATCCGAAGCCTTCGTTGCAAGCATGGACAGATAAACCAGGGTCCTAAAGTACAGCTGTGCCATGTAACGACACCAGACCCCCGCAACTATCCTAGATGACTGGAGCAATTGGGTTTAGGGGTTTAGGGATACACCCGAAATCGAAAGCCGTGAACTCACCTTGACATCCCTAGATGCTTGGGAAGTTGGGCAAGGATGGCGTGTGAAGCCGACTCGAAATGGCGATTTGCAGTGGAGCTGGCCGTGAGGACCGTCTGACCAGCTGTGCCCCCGAAAAGCACTAAACGCCCTACAACTCGCATTAAACGATCAACCCCGGGGTCGAACGCACTCCTGTGTAGAATGCATATGTAAGGATGAGCCAGAGTACGTGAGGAGTGATTATATGTACTCAGTACTAGCAGTCATTGTTGTTGCACCCTTTCTCTAAACTCCGAAGTCTTGAGCACCAACTTAGACCCCCCAACTACCCTCTGCTATGCCCTAAATTCCCACTATGAAGGGCCTTGTGGGCCCCATGAAAGGGCCATTGGGGGGGGGTCCTGGAATCCTACGAGATTTCGCATTTGAGGACCCCATATGGCTCTGCTGGGGCTGCAGGCCTCGTGAGCTGCTGCTGCTCGGCGATAAGAGCTTTTCTAGTGGCTTATGTAGGAGCCTCAATAATTACCTCTGTTACTCCTTCGGGTTCCTGATTATAACTATACTATAAAGGAGCCCAGAACTCTATTCTAATCATTGTGTAATAAGGCCCTTACAGTAGGGGCACATCTGAGCCCTTCTCTTGAAGGTCGAGGTAGCCGGTCGGTCTTTCTGGAGACTTGTGTAGTTGCTGGGCTCTGTACCGCCTCTGGTGTTATCACCCCCACTCCTTCGAACCATGGAGCACATCAAGCATGCATGCTTCATGGTTTTCGGTGTTTATGGTCTGAAGCCTGCAATTTCCATGACTAGGCGAAGCGGCTTTGGCAGCTGGCCCAGCGATACGGGCAGTGCCTTCTGTCGCCGGGAAGGTGCCTGAAGTTCGTAGCGACTTCTGCAGTGGGTTCTATATGTGTACATATACATACACACACATGTACACTCAGCTGATATTTACTGCGTGTGTGTATATTTAATTACACATGCCGCGTCCATAGATAGTTTACACACACATATATATATATATAATCATCATAATCATAATCATAACCATAATCATAATCATCATCATAATAATAATAATAATCATAATCATAATCATAATAATAATCATAATCATAATCATAATCATAAAAATAATCATAATAATAATAATCATAATCATAATCATAATCATAATCATAATCATAAGCATACGCATAAGCATAATTATACTCATAATCATAATCATAATCATAATAATAATAATAATAAAATAACACTAATAACAACAATAGTAATAATAATAATAAGAATATATATACATACATACGTAGCCACATACAACATGTTACATAACATACGTTGCTGCGGCGGGGGGAGATCGACCGTCCGAGGCCTCACGACTTTGAAGGTGAAGTGTTCGGGTGGTTCTCTGCAACTTAGGATTGAGTTTCATGCTTTACCTATAGTCTCCATTGTAGTTCCTTTTTGGGGTTACCTTATAGGATCCTAATCATATATTTGGTCAAACCAAAGAAAGGAACTACAATGGAGACTATAGGTAGGGGCTGATGCCCAGGGCTGTGTGTAAGTAACGGAGGTACTGTGCCAGGATTCCAGTTGCAGGACGATCCCAACCCTCAGCTGCAAGCCCTATTATGGCTTGCGGTTGCAGAACATTTGCCCTTGAGGCGTAACCCAATTTTTGTTGCATGTCAGGTCTTAGACACCTCGGTACCAGCTCTTGAGGGTTACGGGTTCCGGATTGATTTTGGGTTTAACGGGAACTCCAGAAAGTTGGAATATGGTTTCAGGGTAGGATACCTTATAATTTACCACAAAGGGTTTAGGATAATCATATTCCAACTTTCTGGCTTTTACATTAGGGCTGAGGGGTTTAATTAGGGTTTAGGGTCAACTAAGCCCCAACTGCCGCATGCAAATCAATGCGCTGCCAGCAGGTTTCAGAACAGCTGCAGCGCCAGAACACCTCCAGCTTGTTCGTGGTCTCTTGTCCTGCACCATCCATCTTCCCATCTCTGAGATGCTGTCCGCAGAGCAAGAGGATGCAAGTAGTGGTCAAACTCGTGATGCTGATACTCTCGAGGACTGCAGATTTGATAGGCATGATCTCGCAGTCCGCCACATCCAGGTGCACTGCATGCTACTCTATGCACGAAGGTTGTGCAGGCCATTCGAGGGTACAAGGGTCCAGAAGTTTGGGACGACGTTTCGGTCTTTGAATAGTTCCTTCACCTGCTGAGCTGTAGCTCAGGTTTTCCGGCACTCCGTGGTACAACTGCTGCTCCAGAGCTCTGTGGCTTGACATGGAAGTCCAGGGCTGCAATCTTCAAGCCCTGAGCGCTCGGAGACGGCCCACGCGGTTCCTGACTACTGCATGGACATTGGGTTGAATTTCCTGTTAGACAGACTTCGAGTTTTCCCGGCCTAGTGTACTAACAAGCGAGTGGGCGTGCGGCGCTCCGGGATGAGCTGCTGTCACGCTACGCATGATGCATTGCAGCGCCAAAGCCACCATGATTTCAGTGAGCTTAGACAGCTTCGTGAGTGTGATAAGACGACAGAGACAGAAGGGAGAGCATCGCTGTGACGAAGGAGTACAACCACCAGCAGCAACAGATCGCTATCATCGTCACTACCCTCAAATTCGTCATCATTTTAGAGCTGTTGCCATCGAAAATTGCCATCATCGTCAGAAGTATCCCACATCGGTTACTGTGAAAGTATCCCACATCGGTTACTGTGACCATCATCATCTTTGCCCCGATCCGAGTAAAAGAGTTACTAGTAGCTGCCAGAAGTACGTAAAAAGCTTTAGGTCGCCGCAGAAACCGAGCGGAAGCAATTCCAAAGATACAACCGCCCGTATCACCACGCCTCTAGGTCCCAGAGCCCTATAGACCTAAACCCTCAAACCCTCAGATCGTCAAGCCCCAAGCCCGAAGACCCGTACCTCAAAGGACCCCAGACCCCAAAAGCTTTAAGACAGCCTCCATGACCCCCATAGCCCATGGCCTGAGCATCAGAACCTCCTCAGAGTCAGGTGCTTTGGTGGCGTCTTCTTTCGAGACTGCAGACAGCCCTGGAGGATCCCTTTTCGCTATTATATACAAGTGTATGCTACGAAGAGGTATCAAAGTTCAAAGAAACCCCACAGCAAAAACCTGTAGAACCCTTATACAACCCTGGTAGAACCTTGATAGAAGCCTTATACAGAACACTCTGTGCAAACCCTGGTTCTGGCGTAGGAGGGTCTTCTTGCCAACATCGTGCTGAATTCCGCTGCAGCTCGGGTGCTCCTCTCTGAGTCCTCGGCCTCTGGCGGCATCGTTCCCGGGGACCGCGCGTGTCAGGAGCTCGCCAGTACATTGGATGCAGTTGGATGCAGGGGTTGGGTTTCGGGTGAAGGGTGTAGCATGTGGCGAGCTGGGATTCAGGGTCTGGAGCTTAGTAGTCAGTGTTGTGCGAAGGTATCTTCCTGAGTTGCTATCAGGGTAGGATTCCCCTGGGCAGCTCGGCTAGGCCACAGTCGCACGTGCAAACGGTAGCTTTCGAAGCTTCAAAACAAGTATAAGTTCTACTTGTGCTGAAGCTTCGAAAGCTCAGTATAAGGCGAGCGGATGAATGCTTTGACTGTCATGAACAAGATCTTACCGCTTACCTTTGGTTAGTAGGGAATGGAAGAATCGTAGTAACAGTAGTCATAATTGTACCCCATTCCTCCATTCCCTACTAACCAAAGGTAAGAAGGTGCTGAAACCTGGTTGCTGGTGGGGGGGGGGCAATATCCCAGTGAGCCGATGCCGAGTCATCGAGCTGAACTTGATCTCCTTCCTCGGTGCACGCAAAAAAAGAAAGAAAAGACTTATGCATACAAGAGCGTAAGGATGCTGCACTGAAGCCATCGTCCGTGCGGCCCATCAATTTGGATGTATAATCCCCCCCTTTCAGCATACACAGCATGAGCAGCAAAAGGCAGCATGCAGCAGTGTAGTTCCTTCTGCCAGACCCCCACACTGCAAACCCCAACTCAACAAGAACAGTCTCCTTTAGACGACCCCTAAACCACACCCTAAACCTTAAATCCTCAACCTCACTTTCGAGCCCGAAGCCTAAGCCCAAACCCCATTTTGCGGGCCTTCATAATCAGAAAAGACGTTGGTGTATGTTGTATTGTAGCTATAATAAGTATAGGTAATTATTTCAGCCCCTGCAGTAGGGCTGGATTGCCCAGACCCTAAACCCCAAAACCTCTAAACCCTACACCCCTAAAGCGATTGAAGGTGCCCATTGGCTTCCCCGAGCTCCTCGTATGGGGCTGCTGCCCGTGGCATGGACCTGAGCATGAATTGGAGTTTCGCGTGGTGGGCTTAAGGGGTTTACGGGTTTAGGGTTTCGGGGCTTAGGGTTTTTTTTAGGGGTTTAGGGTTTCGGGTTTAGGCAAGTCAGCCCTACCATAGGGACCATAATAATTACTTGTATATAATTTTGGATATTATAATAATTATGCCCCCCCCAAACCCTGTTCGAATTATGAAGGCCCCAGTATTCGGCTTCTGAGGTTCCGACTCTGGGGTTTCGGCTTCCGGGGTGCCGAACTTAGGCTTCAAACCTGAGATACCTTTAGAGGGATCTATAAGGGTTCCTATAAGGGATCTATAAGGGCTCCCATAAGGGATCTATGGGGTTTTACTCTAGGGTCTTGATCTTGAAAGACTTAGGATGCTGTTTTAAGCTTTTGTGCTTTTTTTGTGGTTTCTTGGGGTTGGATTCGATAAGGCTCGGGTCCGGGAGTCAGGCTTCTAGGTTTTGTAGGGCCTAAGCTTTCCAAGGACTCAAGGTAAACCTTGGTACTGTGTCTGCTGACTGGTTGCCTGCCGTACGAAGCCAGGCTAGATTGGACCTTGAAGCAAACCTGATGAATAGGGGCCTGGATAATTACCAGTACCAACGCCATCCCTCAGGGTCCTTAAATTTTTGTAGTACTGTTCGAGGCCCTACTCCGGTCACGTGGCGGCTGCTCCATGCGAGGTTTGATTCAGGAAAAATCAAGTAATGAAGCATGAGTCTGAAATGGCTCACTTTGAAACCACCAAAACCTGCTTTTTGTTTGCTCTGATAATGAACCCCAACCTAGAACTTTTTAGAAATCCTACACGAACGTAGGTTTGGGTAGTTTAAGGCAGTTCGCCCAGGTGAAGCCCTATACACCCTGAAGCCTAATGCCCTGAAGCACTACAGAGCCGTCAATGACTGTTAGGAAGTCCTTAACCCCAAAGCTAACAGCCCATAACCCTAAGTCCCATCAACCTCAGCGTCTATGAAACCGCCTGAAAGCCCGCAGAGCAACCCCAAGCCACCCACAAACAGGCCAACGCCCCAATCATCTTTGAGGAAACTGTAGACCCTAAGCCTCCACTCAACACAAAGCATGTAAGACTGCCTTCTTCCTCTTGACCTCAACGCCTGACTAGGTCCTGGAATCTGCATCCGTGACAAGTGGCGATTGGTCCATAGCTATGGGACCGGCGACTTGCACCCGAAAGGTGTTTGAGGGTGTTTGTTTGCAGATTGTGGGATTCGGAGTTAATTATATGTAGTTACATACACACCGGTTCTAGGGTTTTGTGGCATTACTACTTTATAGTACCTCTCTGATTCAATTTTTTAGTTTTCCGTTTAAGACTCCCCCGACTCTTAGGGGTTCCGGGTCTCAGGGTTTGGGGTTCCGGGGCTTATCGTTCCAGGCTCGAGGTTTGTGCTTTTGGGCCTAGGGCTCTCGGATCTAGGACTGGACGGCTTTTGGGTTTTCAGTGTTGGGAGGCCACCAGACTCCAACACTCCCTTGCCTTACCTTTGGTTAGTGGGGAATGGAGGAATGAGGTACAATTATAACTACTATTACTACCATTCTTCCATTCCCTACTAAGCAAAGGTAAGTTTGCTGGTGCTAAGATTGGTGTTAGTTGCTCTGGTACTTGGATTTGTACAAGTTGCCAGTATAATTACCCTTTTGTTTTTACTCTCAGTCCTAACTTAATGCAGAGATCTGTTTCAGTGCGGCTGAGGAGATGGTTTGGCCTTCTCTGTCTGATCAGGTGGCAGAGGGCATGGCGAAGGGTATCACTTCAGGGAGTATGGCGTAGGGTTTAGGGGTACAGTCGGGATAGTGTGAACAGGTCTGGGGTTTTGGGTTTCGGGAAAGGGCAAAGAAACAGCAACGACCAGTTCGCGAGGAATAGGTCCGATAATACTAAGCTTTAGCCCACACCCACATATCGGTAAGGACCTTCATCTCATGTTTAGATTCGTGAGTACCAGACTCTGCATGACCATTCTCATCATCATCTTTGGCAGGTTATCGTCTTGAGGCCAGGTATTAACCAATATGATGGATCTCTGCTAGTACAACTCGTGTGATGTGCCCCCTTGCGCGCGGACTAAAGCCTTGATTACGCCGATGATGACCATTTCGCAATGTTATCGGCGAGAAAATGCAACAGCAAATTGGCTGTGCTGTGGGTACTATATCGACGCTCGGGGCCACATATATGAAACGGTGAGGAGGATGTACTTGAATAGGCGAGCCCTGCGAGGAGCATGGCTGTCCGGGACATTTTCTGCCCCATAATCCCTTGACCACAAACCGCAAGCCCCTGAGCCCTCCCTCCTAAACCCGAAGCCGGAAACCCTGAAAACCCCCACGCCCAGCCCTGCATAACTAGCTGACAGGCGAGGAGGCAGCACGGCATTCGTGGAACCCGAGAAATCGCCGTCTCCTGAGAAGGACCGGACACTTGCAAAGAAGTAAGGGTTTCAGGGTTCAGGGTTTTCCGGTCCCAGGCGCAAGTTGAGACTCCCGATCCTGGAATCAAGTTTTGTCACAGTTTCAGCATCCTTACTGAGCAGCTACAGAAGCACGAGGACCGTCTACAGGGCAGGCTAAGTGCCGACCTATTTGCACACTTTGTCAAACATGCGATAGTTGAGTTCTTGCCAGGTCTTGTACATATACTTGAGAACTAGCCAGTCCTGTCACGATGACATATGCAAGGCCCTGGCAGACATCTGGTCAATCCCATCAGTCGGCTAGAGCGGCCGCTGCCATTAGAGCGGCCCCTCCGTCGAGGCAGGTGGCGATTGCTCAAAACTTGGTGCCACTTCAGTGTAGCAAGTTCGCAAGGACCGAAGAATGAAGCTCGAGAGTATGAGCGGCTATCTTAGATGACGAAGAAGAAGCATACTGCTCAATGACCCTCAGACGGCCCGTTGGAGGTGCTGGTGGATGTGCCGATGCCAGAGAAGTACTCTACGAGCTCGGTTGCTTCAGAATCCTGGCTTGGCGTACTGATATGGGCAACTCCCTTCAGCCGCGCTTCAAGTCCTCGCAGGCCGGCGGAAGGTTCATGAAGACGCTGCGGCGCGGAATTCAGATGTACCTCCATTGTAATGGAACACTCGACCCCCTTCTCAACCGCTCGCAGGAAATTCGTGCACATCTGGCTTGAAGCCATCACAAGAACCATTATCCAAAGCAGTCGTCTCTTGGACGGATGCTGTTGGGCCCGTGTAGGCGATGGTGAGTTGCGTTACAAGCGTCTGTTCATACATCCATGTGGCCTGACAGCCTGGGCAAGTTGTAGCGGAACAGAGACAACATACCCGGTCCAGTGAATGTATTGTTAGAGACAAGAGCATCTTAGTACTAGTTATGTTCATTTACTTATGCAGTTGACACACACACACACACGCACTGACAGACACATTTAGCAACGAACGAGAATAGGAATGACAAAAACGAATTGCAAGGTCATCTGCCACAAGACGGACAACTATCAAACGCAGTCGGGTGACTTTCCACAACCACGAATAAATAAGGCACGCGGCATGCAGTAAGCCCATAATGGAACAAGTATGGCAAATCACACGACATGAGCCCTGGAAAGGTACAGCTGTCTGGGCAGCCAGGACAGCCGATGAGAGTCCCTGCCTCCGGCACCGAACCTGTATGGTGCTCTTGACTGTTGAACTTTGGCAAAGTCCATTGCTTACTGAGTCCTGAAAGCCTGAAGCGTGGCCGTTTGCGAATCTTATGCCTCCGGGGCAAGGATGGAAGCATCATTGTCGCAATATCCTGTGGCGTGTTGCCCTGGCTTCCTCTACCTCGGCAGCCTCGGCATCTTCTGCGCATGCTACCAAGGATACGGTTTAGGGTTTAGGGTTTAGGCCGATTTCGCTTACATCTTGGCCGGATATGGCCAACATCCACTAATTCCTGGATTGGCAGACCGAGTGGTTCCTCGTCAGGGAGGCCCAGAGACGGTCTGCACGTTTCGAAGACCGGGCCGACTCTCAAGCACATGATGCTCGCATCGGAGTGGCAGTCAAGGTTTCCCAACGTGCGTGAGGCTGAGAGCACTCTGTACGGAAATTGAGTTCTTCCCATGGGGAACGCTCTTTCCTGCTTGGCAGAAACTCGCAGCCAAGACTGGTCCAGGAGACCAACATGAATCAATCAAGATGGATCCGACCTCTCGGTGCAGCAAATCTATCTCTGCCTGCAGCTGTCTAGCTTCGTGCAGCTGGACCGTCGTGGCCGCACTGCAGAGCTTGGGACCAAGTCTCAGTTCACTTCCATGCAGCCAGAAGCGGCTGAGCAATGAACGAATGCACAGCATCCAACAGAGGATAGGCTGATGCCTGAGACACATCAGCCGTTTCAGGTCAAGTCTACTGGGCGAGAAGCCATAGTCTAGGAGAAGGTATAGTATAACCGTTTACAAAGCCCTGAACGCAGAATTATGCAGCCTTCCCAACCCTGACCCATCAACCCGAAGCCCCTAGCCCTGAGAGTCTTTCGTTTTTTAGCTTACATGAAAGGTCTGAATACTTAATCAATTTACTAGTCTTGTAACTTGAAGATTAAGCCCCAGCCCCTCTACTTCTCATATAATGTAGGGTTCTGAACAACAAACTTGCCAGAAGAACGTTTCTTGCATCCTTGTGTGTATTCTACATATTAGTACATATACCAAAATATTGTGCACCGAAGCCCTATTCCAACCATAGGCCCCTAGGTGACATCCTCACAGTAACTTAGTCTCACAGAACCCTTAAGGAACCCTATTCTATCGTGAAGGCCAATATGAAGCCCAAAGTCTTCAGCTTTCGTAGTCGGCCCGGTAGTTATGCGATACTACGGCAGGCAAGCTTCACGAAACGAAAGGGTAGGTGCCGAAAGCTTAGGGTTTGGGAAGTGGGGCTTAGGGCTCGAAAAGCTTAGGGCTTAGGGTTTGGGGCTTTGGGTTTTGGGATGAGTAGAAGCAAAGAAGTGCCCCTGAACACTAACCTCGAGGAAGAAGTTCCTTCAAGAAGCAGGTAAGCCACTGGGCATCGTACATTGTATGGCTTCCCGGTTCGTCTCACCGTGTCACCACTTCCCACAGGCTTGTTGTTGCTCCACCTCTCGTCTTGCAACAGAGTTCGTCTCTTGCCTGGCACGACTAAGACCTCGGGAGCCTTAGGCTCTTGAGCTTTCAACCCTCATCCTTCGACCAGCTTGTACAAAAAGATGCTCCAGTCAAGGGTCAAGTTGCGGCAGGTAGAGTCATCCCGCGAGGTATTCCGTGATCGTTGGGGTGGGCTTGCCGCCTGCAACATGCAGCTCAAAAAGTGCACAGCGCTCGTAGGTGCAGCGCTTAGGATTCAGGGCAGTATGGCAGTTTCGGGCTGAATCTTTGTGGCCGGAAGCGGTTCTTGTCCCAGCTCTGGTGTTCGCATCCCGTGTTGATGATGCCTTGCACGGACGGTGGCTGCAGGAGACGCCTCGGAGTATAAATGCCAACTTCACCTGAACTTATGCTCCCAAACCTGACAGCCTTCAAACTTGTTCCGAGAACCCGAATCCACGCAGTCGCAAATGTCGATGGCATAGTTCCGTGCAGAGGCTTTACATCAAAGATTCAATGTCGGAGTCTAGCCCTTTTGCCGTTTTAGGCGACCGTCGAAGGCTCCGCTTACCTAAAGAATGGGTGACTGGAGTACAAAATATCTGGTTGGTAACCTGCTCTTTAGGTAACAGGCGCTGTAGGGTTTGTCGAGTTCAGTTCCACATGTCTCAGGCTGGATCACGACTGACCGACGTGTAGTCGTCTGCCACCCAGCTTCCGTCACGATACCGACAGTCGTGATCGCAAACTCGCACAAGCAAGAGCGCCATCAACCACAGAAACTTTCACAATGCAACAACGAGGAAAACACAGCTATAGCGCCCCCCAATAATAGAAGCACCACCGCCGCGACGACGAAAGCAGCAACAACGACGACGACGTCACTGCAGCAGCCGGCGCCGCTGCAACAGCAGCAACCCGGCAAGCAGCGCGAGCAACAGCTTCAATACTCGTAGTATAAAGCAATCACAATATCAAGCTGAAGTTTGATACCATTTAGTTCTGACCTGACAGTCTCGGCTAGTCTTAAGACCATACCGCGCGTCCCGCACTCCCACATCCGGAAATGCAAGAGAGAGTTCAGGATTCATACATGCAAAGCATCAGGTGCGGTCTATAGTCTATTGTATGCAGATTAGTAAGTATGGCTGCTGCCCAAACTTCACGGGCATTGCTGTCACGTTTGTAGGGTCTGGACTGGGAATGCTTGATCAGGCGACTGGTGCTGTCGACAAGAGACGCCGTTGGTTGGATAAGCCCTGCGTGTCCCCAGGCCACCAACCTCAAACAAGCACAGCTAACCGGAAGCCATTGGGTCTCGATGCGTATACACAGTGCAAAGCTGGACATCAGCAAGAACCGCGTCCGATTCGCCGGCATGGTCATTGCAAGCAGGAGGGGATTGGAGTAGCAGCAATCACAGCATTGAATTGGGTTTAGGGGGGAATTATAGGGTTTAGGCTCTTGAAGAGAAAGCCAGCGAAAGCATAAGAGCAAGCACCCCAAGCCTTGGCTAAGGCCAGAAGTGCGGCGGGAGAGGCTCTGAACCCTGATGAGTCGTCGCCTCAGTCTTGCGGCCTTTTTTTGGTTCTTTTCGGCGGCTTTGGTTTCCGAGCGTTGTTCAGAACGGGGCTTGCAATGTTGATGGTGTCAGAGAGCGGAAGCCTCTGAATGCAAAATTGCTAAGTTCTCGAAACTCACAACTGCAACAGCCCCCAGGCCCCACAGAAACACAGACATACTTCCAACTATGAACGCTAAAAGCACCCGGACAGCAACCACATCTGGGTTTGGAACGATATATGCCGATCATTCTTGGTTTTGTGACGTTGAGCTGCACGATGGCGTCAATGATACTGCGAGCGAGATAGCTCCCGGACGATGGTAGCGATGACGATGTCCATGACGATGAAGATGTTGCTGATGATGCCGAAGATCAAGGTGATGATTATGATGATGATGACGATGACGATGATGATTACCATGACGGTGATGATGATGATGATGATGCTGATGATGCTGATGGCGGCAGTGACATGGGAACAACGATAATGGACATGAATATGAAAACTAACGATAATGTTAAAATAATAGTTCGTAATGATATTGCAGAATAGGAATACTCATAATCATAAGAATAGCATGATAACAGTTCTAATACAAATCTAATATGACAACGATGGTGATGCAGAAGAAGAAGATGATAACGATAAGGATGATGGCTATGATGTTGTTGTTGATTATGATGATGCTGGTGGGTTGGCCATGACTTTGCTGACACTCATGTGGTTGTTGGTAGGCGATGAAGCAAATGGTGATGATTATGTTGTTAAG